TTCAGACTAATGTATCTCCCAACCCCACCGCCGTCGCTGCCGCTGCTGCTGCGTTGCTGATTCCCCCCCCCGCCGCGCCTGCTGTTGAGAGTAATGGCCCTCCCAGCCCCACCTTCGTCGCTGCTGCTGCTGTTGCGTTGCTATTTCCCGCCGCCGCCACGCCTGCCGTTTAGGCTACTGCACCTCCCAACCCCACCGCCGTCGCTGCTGCTGCTGCTGTGTTGCTAATTCCTGCCGCCGCCGCGCCTGCCGTTTAGGCTACTGCACCTCCCAGCCCCAACACCGTCGCTGCCGCTGCTGCTGTGTTGCTATTTCCCCCCGCCGCCATGCCTGCCGTTTAGGCTACTGCACCTCCCAGCCCCACCTTCATCGCGGCCACTGCTACTCCGTTGCTAATTCCTGCGGCCACCGTGCTGCTGCTGTTGCTATTTCCCACCGCTGCCGCGCCTGCCGTTTAGGCTACTGCACCTCCCAGCCCCTTCACTGTCGCTGCCGCTGCTGCTGTGTTGCTATTTCCCCCCGCCGCCGTGCCTGCCGTTCAGGCTACTGCACCTCCCAACCCCACCGCCGTCACTGCTGCTGCTACTCCGTTGCTCATTCCCGCCGCTGCTGCGCCTGCTGCTGTTGCTATTTCCTGCCGCTGCCGCGCCTGCCATTTAGGCTACTGCACCTCCAAGCCCCTTCACCGTCGCTGCCGCTGCTGCTGTGTTGCTATTTCCCGCCGCCGCCGCGCCTGCCATTTAGGCTACTGCACCTCCAAGCCCCTTCGCCATCGCTGCCGCTGCTGCTGTGTTGCTATTTCCCGCCGCCGCCGCGCCTGCCGTTTAGGCTACTGCACCTCCCAGCCCCACCTTCGTCACTGCCGCTGCTACTCCGCTGCTAATTCCCGCCGCCGCCGCGCCTGCTGCTGTTGCTATTTCCCGCCGCTGCCACGCCTGCCGTTTAGGCTACTGCACCTCCCAGCCCCTTCGCCGTCGCTGCCGCTGCTACTCCGTTGCTTA